GGGAGGCTGTGCCTAAGATCCATAAAGAGGCTTGCTCTAAGCAATCTGCAGTGACGCATAGGATTGCCAGATAGCAGAAAACAGGCTGGCCTACTCTCAGTTCAAGCAGCCAGCTGAGCAACAGCAGTCTAAAAAGCCCCAAATGGGCCACCTCTATGGGTTCAGGGGAGGGCTGAGTGCTGCCTTTTGAATATGTACCAAAAAATAACATCGTACTCTGAACTGGAGCCTCGGGGACTTCAAGTTTGGATGGGTAGGTGCTCAAAAAGGGGAGGACAAAAGTCAGCTGCTTGTCCTTTCACAGCCTTAGGCCAACACAAACTGCAAATTGGTAAGCAGCACCTTAATGCCTCTGGTGACAGTTACAGCTGAAGTGGCAGGGTCAAGCTTGTAGGTGTTGGCATCCTCCTTTTTATATCGGTCCCGAAAAACATAAATGCTCCCATTACAGCTGGCGATCTTCCAGAGGGATGGAGCAGAGCTCCAGGCTTCAGGAAGGCAAAGCCTTGTAAAGCTATCTAGCAGGGGATTATAGCACACCAGGGAGTCCCCTTCAGCCACGATGAACACCAGATCTTTATGAACAGCTGCATGCATGCGGCCTGCGAAAGGCAGCACATAGGGCTTCACATGGCACTTGTCTGTCTCTGTGTCAAAGCACTGGATGAGTCGGGAAGGTTTGGTAAACAAGTCCAAGTCACCCTCCTCCCCCCCTAGTAAGTAGATGATCCCGTTGAGGTTGGCTCCAGCGGCCCCTGACACGGCTACCTCTAGCTGGGTTGTCTCTGTCCAGACGTTATCACCTACCCGATAATAGATAACTGCATTGGAGAGGCTATCCTTTAGTGTCTTGCCACCCAGTGAATATATGGCATCTTTCTCAGGCACAGACACCAGGGTGTGCTGGAGCCGGTCTCGGGGCAAGGGCGCACACCACTCCCAGTCCACAGTGGCGTTGTTGCACTTCCACATGCGCCGTGGGATAGACCCTCCCACCACGTACAAGTCTCCACCATGCTTGCAGGCTGCCGTGATCTGGTGGCACAAGCTGTTTTGGCCACTTACACTGATGGAGTCGTCTTCTGCACAGTGCAAGGACACAGCCAACGAGTGAGTACGAGATGACTCTTTCCTGATCAGATAAATGTGCACGTTCTCCTCTTTCCCGCAGATAAATGTGCACATTCTCCCCAATTTCCTATTGACAAAATTAAAATTATAAATGATATCGGTTCTAGGCTAAGGCTCGGCTGAGACGCATACCCTTAAGATACTGGACCATACACTTTTATCTTACTCTAACGTATTCCCTTCTAGTTTGTGTCATCCTGCTCTCTTCCAATCACTTTCAGGAATTTTATGCTAGAACAGAGAATCTGTCATACTCATCCTTTGAGCTTTTTAAAAACTATGTCTGAGCTGGTGCTTCAGACAAAGGGTGCTTAGGATTGTTAAGGCAATGATGAAAGTAGTTCTCTCAAGGAGCTTTGGAGCTCAGAAGCTGGTGGCTTCTTGGCTCATTCATCCTCCTTCACAGCTCTTAGTAACTTCAAGCCAGAGACCTTATCACCAGCCACCAAAGAGGCCAGGCCAATTGAAGGCTATAACGTGCGGCTATTACAGTGTCCCAACTCTAAACAAATCTGCCTTACCTTTAAGCTAGTCCTGAGTGACTCTGCAAAAGCCTCTCTTTCCTCTTTATTAAAATTGATCCAGGCTTCTATTGCCTCTGTTGGGTTCTGGGAACATGGAACTCCATCTGTGAGAGCCAGAGGAAAGGCATGGTCAACAGGAATCTGACAGAAAGGGAAATTTAGAGCCAAGGGCTTTAAAGATGTGAACCACTTTGTTAGACTGCCACCATTTAGGGGTGTGTGTGTGTGTGTGTGTGTGTGTGTGAGAGAGAAATTAACCTAAAATTGCCTTTTTTAAAAAAAATAAACGGATGGTTTGATGCACTCCCATTTGCCATGGAAGTAATCTACTAGGCTGCAGCACTCATATGTAAAGTATGATTATACCTCAGTTGCAGGGTCAGGATTACCAAAAGTTGGTCTGTAACTTACAAGGTTTTTTAGATATCCCAACTTGTCCATTGTTAATTTACTTAGGTGACTAGTCCCATAGGTGTATGAAAAGTGCAGGGCAGGACAGATGAGTACACTTATGCACAGGAGAGATTAGAGTATACATATAAATGGTTCTTCACTACCTTTTGTGGATAAGTGCTGCTTTCATTTTCTTGGCATCTTCCTCAATAAAGGCCTCTGTCTCTAACAGCAGCTACACTAAATCTCAACTCAATTTCTCCCAGAAAGTATCTAAATTCCTACCAATAATACTATTAACTAATACTGGGAAGCCTGAGGGTTCCTTTGTCCTGAACTAAACATCCATTGAACACCATGCCCAAGTAGCTGGGTATGATATGCCTCCTCCCTCAACTTACCCGAGATGATATCAGTGAGTAGATGGTGGGGCAAGTGGAGAAATTCCTCTGTGCTCTGCAGCTGGGCCAGGTGGGCCTTAGCACAGTGCTTGGCAGCAGTGTAGAGCTCAGGATCACTGTGCCGATCTGCCAGCCACATCACCTGAAGGCAATTCCCCACCTGCACTGTGCGGGCCAAAAACCGAGAACACTCCTCAAAGAGAGATGTCAGCTGATACATGTCTGACACCTCATAAATTTCCTGCAGCTCGTCAGCTCGAAGTTTCACAGTCCCGTGGTAGATATAATCAACCAGGAGCTGGAAAACAGACTCGCTGACATCCTGCAGCACTATCACCCGGTTGTGGGCCTCCTTCAGGTTGGAAGTGAACATGGACCTGAAGAAGCAGCTCTGAGCTGAGAGCACCAGCCTGTGGAGCTGAAACTCCCGGCCTTCCACTGAAATGGTGACATCAGCAAAGAGCTCTTCCTCCAGACACAGTTTCATGATGCCCTGAACCACACGGCCTGAGTGTGAACGATCTTTGAAAGTGTAGTTCACAAAGTAGTTCTCATCCATGGATGCTCCAGGCTCCTCTGGTGATTCCATGGTAGCCAACTTCTCTCTCTGCCAGCTGTCTGCAAAGCAACACCACCCTCAGTAACTTGGGGAATCCACAGCCACAGTCCATTAATCAAACAGTCCAAATTCAGGGAGGAAGAAGGAAAAAGCAAAGTAGGCCCATATTGGCCTTAGTCCTGGCTTTGTCAATAACATCTCTGATGCTCTCCTCCAACCACAACTGGGTTCATTCTCCTGCAGTGGCAACCCCATCCCTAATAAGTCAATAAAATTTCCTACTCTGAGTGTTTCCCTGAGAAAACACTGAATATTCCTTTCCACGATGTAACAAAAAGTTTGGTATTTAGGTCAATATATGGAGAAAGCCTATGATCTTAAAAGCCTGGCAAAAAGCCTTACAAACCAAGTAACTATTGGATATAAAACTAGTGAGGCATTGGGGAGCAGAACCAAACAAAAAAGGCTCCCAAGACCTAGTGAGTGTCCAGGCAGGTCCCCCATACCCGCTCTGAAGCCGCGCGCGCAGGGAGTTCAAATTCCAGTGTGAGTCTTCAGGTCCATATTTGCTCTTTTGTGAGCTTTCCCCCCGCCCTTCCCCGCATCTCCCTAATGACTCCCCAAGGCTCCCTCCCAGAACTCGAGACAGCCCAGACGTCCCCAGCCTGGGGCACGAGGAGGCCTACTGCTACGTGTAGTGTCGCCGCTCCACCTATAGTTACTTGGGAAACGGTCTCCAGGGAAACCGTTCTTCTCTCCCGTCCCCCACTCACTATGCCCCGCAGCCCTTGTCAAAAGCTTAGTTTAGGGAGCAGGGGAGGGATATGGAATGTAGAACCAGAATACCTTCCCCTCATCTCACCCGTCCGGTTCTTTAGAGTCCTCGATTTCTTTCCAGCCGCTGCCAAGCTAGGGCTCTGTTCACCTCACGGTTTCCTCACCTGCTTGCCTTGTTTTATCACCTGCGTTCCCTCCTTTCATTCCGAAGCTCAGAAACCGGAACCTCTGCTTCCTACCCCGCGACTGCCCGGAAGAATATATGATGCACACTTCCGCTTCCGGTCCGTGCCCTTGAGGCTCCGTGTCCTGTGGGTTTTGCTCTGCTGCTTGATCTGCATCCGGAAAACATGGCGGCGGTAGCGGCGAGGGGCTGTTGGCGGGGGTTCGTGGGAGCCGTGGCGCTGCCCAGGGGTGAGCAGGGGACAGTCGGATGAGGCCCGGGGCAGGAGCAGCAGGGCTCCCTGTGCAGGGAGCCCCTCAGGACTCACCTTGCGCTCTTTTGTCTTTTGTCTCCCCGTACAGTGGCGAGGAGACCCTCGGTGTTGTTGCTGCCGATGAGGAGGGAAAGCACTGCGGCCGACACGCGCCGTGAGTATGTGCGAGCCTGGCCCTTCTCGGGACTACAGACGGGGGCCTTTTCATTCCTTTTGTCAGCTGTTTGTCCTTGCTCTGGGATGCCCTTCTCTGTGTCCTGGCAAATCTCTGCTTGTCCTTGGAGCCCTGATTGCAATGGTCTTCACTCTGCAGGCAGAATCGGGCCCTCCTGGAGCCTTTAGAGCCTGTCTCTTATGGCCCTGATTGCCCCCATGTTCGTCTTCATGGTTACTTTTTTCTTTCATTAAACTGTCAGTAGTTTGAGAGCTGGAAACATAACCTTCGGGCCTCAGCCTAGTGTAGAGCCTGCTCACATTAATTGAGTGCTTATTTTGTGCTGGTCACTTTGCGAAGTGTTTTAGTGAATGATCTTATTTAGTCCTCACAACAGTCTTATAAAATCGATAGTATTATGCTCTTCATACTATAGATCAGGAAACTGTTCAGAGAAGTAACTTGCCCAGGGTCACAGCACCAGCTGAGTGACAGAGCAGGCCTGCCTGCTGCCAAGGCAGAGAACACTTAACCATTACCTTGCAGTCTATGATGTGTGGGTACTCAGTGATTTCGGGTTGCATGAGTGAGATATGTGACAGTCAACATAAGCTGACTGGGAGTCAGGAGACTTGCATTTTCCCCTTTTTGGGCCTCAGTTTCCTTATCTTTGTAAAAAAAAAAAAAATGGGAGGGAGGTTCAACTAGATAATCTGTGAGGGCTCTTAAGCCCTGAAATTCTTAGCTTGAGAACCTGCTACCAGCCAGGTGCTAAAGAGATTCACAGAAACCCAAGAGACTGGATGCAGGGCTGGCTGCTGCCTTTGCCATTCCTTTGTTAAATATGCCTTCTCCTTCCAGCCACTGTCAGACCACGGAATGATGTGGCCCACAAACAGCTCTCAGCTTTTGGAGAGTATGTGGCTGAAATCCTGCCCAAGTATGTCCAACAAGTTCAGGTAATATTCACTACTGTTTGGTCTGGGACAAGAAAGAACCATATTCTCAGGTCATGTGGGAGTGGGCATCCCGGTATAAAAAAAACCCCCACAGATTCTTTCATCCCATCTTGGGCTTCTTTCTCTACCTTAAACCAGGAGAATCAGCTGAAGTTAGCTGTTCCCTCAGTAGCTCTTTGTTGTCTCTCCCCTCCTGTTCCATGCCTGCAGGTGTCCTGCTTCAATGAGTTAGAGATCTGTATCCATCCTGATGGAGTCATCCCAGTGCTCACTTTTCTCAGGGATCACAGTAACGCACAGTTCAAATCTTTGGCTGATCTGACGGCAGTGGACATCCCCACCCGGCAGAACCGTTTTGAGGTCAGTAAGGAGATTTGAGAAGGTTTGGGAAGAAAAGAAGGGACAGGAAGGTGACAGCTACCACTGGGACCCATAACCTTCTTAGTTTCAGTCTGGGTCAGAGAGTTCAACACAGCAGTTAAACTGGGGCCTCAGAAGCAGGCAGACCTCGAGTTTGAATCCTGGATCTGCCACTTGTAGGCTGTGTAACTTCAAACATTTTGTTTAATCTTTCTGAATTTTAGTTTTCTTATGTGCAAAATAAGTATAAAATTGTCCTTACCTCATAGAGTGGTGTGAGGATTATATGAAATAGTACAGATAGATTGCTAGCATACAATAAGTTTTCAATACTTTTTGATATTTACTGATCATGTACTGTTTACCAGATTCTGGGATTGAGAAAGAAATAATACTGAATACCTGTCCTCCAGGAGTCTCCCATAGTCCCCCTGTGAGCGAGGACACATAAACAGCTTACTGTAATAACATGTAACACATGGGAGGTTATAGAGATGCTATAAGAATGCCAGATGGGCCACTTAGCCCTGTCTGGGAGGCTTCTTTGAAGAGAGAGAATTTTTGTGCTGAATCTTAATGGATGACCAGGAGACCAGGAATTAGCCCAGTGAGGATTAGGGTTTGGGAAGATGGGATCAAACGACATCCCAGACAAAGGGAATAGCATAAACAAAGATAAACATGCTGACATGCTGAGCTATTGTGTGGCTTAGGCCTTTCAAAGTAGTTGTAAGTATAGGAGGATCTTGAGGTTTTGAACTTTGGACGGAAGGCAGGTTCACAGGGCCGAACCCAACCCATCCTATATCTTCATCCTTGGTGCTCCCACTCAGGGACTCCTGCCTCAGACCCTTCAGCCTGTGGCCATCTTGGTTTTCCAGCTCCCTCTATTCTCCTAGATTGTTTACAACCTACTCTCTCTGCGCTTCAACTCCCGGATCCGTGTGAAGACTTACACAGATGAGCTGACACCCATTGAGTCCACTGTCTCTGTGCACAAGGCAGCCAACTGGTATGAGAGAGAGGTGAGTTAAAATAGACACATTAGTCTATGCCATGCCACCCTGAACGTGCTCTATCTCATCTGATCTCAAGCTAAACAGGGTTAGGCCTGGTTAGTACTTGGATGGGAGACCACCTAGGAATACCAGGTGCTCTAGGCGTTTTAATAGATAGATAGATTAGATAGATAAAATAAAATAAAATAGACACGTTGGATCCTGCCTCTGGGCTAGAGTTGCAGAATTGGTTGAAACTACTGGATGTAGCATAGCCGCTCACCCCTGTGTTGGCACTGATGGACTGGTTGCCTGAGGACCTCTTTTTTCCTAGATATGGGACATGTTTGGAGTCTTCTTTGCTAACCACCCTGACCTAAGAAGGATCCTGACAGACTATGGCTTTGAGGGACATCCTTTCCGGAAGGACTTCCCCCTGTCTGGCTACGTTGAGGTGGGAGCCTTGGAACTGGGGCAGCAGCTCAGGGAGGGACTGGCAGGGAATGTGGGGGATCGTGGGTGTGACAGCAAATATGGTTCGTGGATTGTGGTGGTTTAAGAGCATTGGCTCCAGATTCAATTCCTGACTCTACTTTTGTAATCTGGGGCAAGTTTTCTCATCTGCAAAATGGAAACAATAATAGTACTTAAGGTTTGCGATATGCTAAATGATTTATGTGTAAAGCCTGGTGTATTATAAACGCTCAGTTGATGTTAGGCACTATTGTAGTCATTTTAATGACCACGGTAACCTTGAGGACATGCTTAGTCTGTCCCCAAGATCTGAAAGTGGAGTATCATTTTACCCTGCCCTGGATCTCTGAGAAGGGAGCTGACAGGGAAGACACTAAATGTTCAGTCTTTGAGAATGGCCGGAGGCAGGAGCAGTAAGGTGACTACAAAAGCCTTATAAAGAATTTCAGTGCTGCAGGTTGTTTACTAGCAGGAGAAGGGGCTATGGTATACATACAGGTAATTTTGTAGCAAAGTAATTTTTTAGAAATGTTGAGAGTAGCAGTCCAGCCCTTCTCTTTAGTACCCAAATGCTTCTCTTTTGCATGGTTCCATTTCCTTCTCAAGCTACTTCTGGTCAGGACTACTTCCCTCTCATCTCACCTTCAGTCTCCCCTATGGTCCCCCTAATCTGGTTTGCCTCTTCACTCCAGTACCTGTTTGTCCTTACCATGTCCAGCTGATCCTCCAATAACAAGAAAAGCCAAATTGACTGCTTTACATCTTGACAATGTTAATGCCAAGGCCACAGGGCCTGAACTTGAGTGCTTGCTAGTTTAGGTTTACTCTTTTTCAGCTACTGATTTGCTTCCTAATCCTGGGCAAATGCTTACTATTACCTTATGAGAGTGTGGATGGGTGAACAAAGTCAGTTCTGCTGGAACAGGAGCTCAGAGCTCATGATGTGGGTGAAGGAGCTGGAGAAATCACCCATGGCCTTGGAAAAAGTGGGTTTCTTACTGGAACAAGGCCTCAGTGCACAGACTTACCTTTCTCTTTCTGCAGTTACGCTATGATGATGAAGTGAAACGGGTGGTGGCCGAGCCAGTGGAGTTGTCCCAAGAGTTCCGCAAGTTTGACCTGAACAGTCCATGGGAGGCTTTCCCTGCCTATCGCCAGCCTCCTGAGAGTCTCAAGCTGGAAGCTGGAGACAAGAAACCGGAAACCAAGTAGCTTCAGGGAAGGCATGTGGATCCTAGAAAGCGCCTTATCTATAATTGAGTGTCTGTGTAAATAAAATCCTACTTAAAACTCACCACTTCCTCTGTGCTCATGAAGCTTTGACTCTGGAGAGAGGAGATGCAGATGGGTTTTCCTTGCTCCTTTAGACTAACAAAAGAGTGTGTTTTAATGGGACTAAATAGTGCAGTTGCAGACATGATGACCTGAAGCCCTGGATATATTTCTGAAAGAGGGATTCTGGGGCTGAAATTGAAAGATCTCAGTCCACTGGGCTCAGGATGGGTGTGGCATGGCCCTTTCTGAGAACTGGAGGAGGTCCAACAACTGCTGGAGAAAGCCCCTTGTCTGGTGGATCCAGGAGCCTGGGTGGAACAAGGAAACCCCCACCCACCCTTATCCCATCCAAACAGCCACAGGGATCCATGAGCCAACAGCCAGAACCAGGAAGAGCCGCAGCTCATTTTTTGAGGCTTAAACCCTGCATCCTGCTCTTTGCAACCTGATAGCCCATCATGCTTGGGCTAAGGAATCTTCCTAGACTCTAGTCTGAGCCAAGAATTTTGTAAGCAAGCAAAGGAGGTCCCAGAGATGGGGCAAAAGACACTCAGGAACTGTAGATCTGTCTCCCAAGGGATAAGACGCCCTAACTCAGCTGGTCAGGGTCTGTTCAGCCATGGCTGAGTGCCAGAGGTGAAAGTGCTCGGCTCTCTGCCTGTCCATGGGCTAACTGGCCATGCAATTGGAGGACCGGGTTTTGCAGCTGATGCTCTTGGCTGCTGAGGGGCTCCCTGGAGGCTGGGCTGGTCTGGCTGTCAAGACTTGGGCTCAGCTGTAGGATGTCTTGGATGTGAGGACAGAAAGTAAGGTAGTGTTATTGCATGGGCTCTTCCCTACCTCTTGGGAGGGTCAAGCTAGAGCTGTTTGCTACCAAACATTTTTCTATTAACTAAGCATCCCGCCCATCTGGACAGGAATAGGCTGAAGGCTTGACAAGCAGCAGGGAGCTAGGCTCCTACTGCCAACAACCAAAGATTCCACATTTGTAAGGGATGGAAAGAGCCCCTGGGAAGCCAGAACCAGCCCCTCCCTGTTCAGCATTGAAGACTGACACAAAAAGCAAGGAACGCCTGGGCAGCCTGCAGTGGAAAGTTGGAGCCATGGTGTGTGGCAAACGGATGCAGGAGCAGAGAGCAGCTAGGAAGAGTAAGACTCAGAGGACGTGGTGGGGCATGGCGGGGAAAATGCAGTTCCTGGCCTCGCTAATAGTTGCCACTTGCCTCCTCCCTGGGGTGACTACAACCCAGCACCATGCAGGTACCGGGGCTTCAGGGTGGGGTGGATGGGAACCAAGGAAGGCTGCTGGCTGATAGTTAACAGTTGGTTCTATCCGAGCCTGGTAGGGCGTAGGAACTGTGGGCAGGTTCGGTACCAGGCTGACCTGTGCTGTGGGGGCTAACTGTGTGGGCCCCACCCCCAGAACTGGAGAGGTCAAGGTAAAGTCAGGGAGATAGCCCTAGGTGCTCTCAGTGCTGGCCCTGGATAGAATTGGGCCTGGGCTTATTCCAAATGTTGCACAAAGCAGCACCTCTTGATCTGCCCTGGGCTGGGAACAAGCATTCCAAGGGCCTGGCAGCACCCTAGGGTGGGATGAAGGAAGCTGTAACAGACATCCTGTCTTCCACACCATCACTGCTGAGAAGCAAGGAAGAAGTGGGTTCTTCCTAAAGGGGTTCTCAACCTTTGGGGAGGGTCAGTGGCACTGTTAGGTTACACTGTTCCCAGATGCTTATAGGGAGGGGAAGTGGGAAGTAAAGTGTCTTGTGACCCGTTGGCCTGGAGCTCTTGGCCAAGGGAACTGTAGAAGTTCAAGGAGGAGTCCTGGACATTTGCCAAAGTGGTATCTGAGTTTGGGATGATGATTCTGGGATCACAAGACCTATGCCTGGGAGGGTGAATGTCAATGTGCATGTTTGTGTAGGGGGAGGGGAACATGGGATGGCATTCTTGCTCTTGCAGCTAGAAGAACCTCTAGGCACCCTTGCCAGGCAGCTGAGGGGCACTCCTGGGAAGCTGGGATGTTCAGGGCAGATTTTGGCAGGGGCCTGACTTCTCTCTGCTGCCCCAGGGCAGCCCATGGACAGCACCAGCGTGGGAGGTGGCCTGCAGGAGCCAGAGGCCCCGGAAGTGATGTTTGAGGTCTTTCCTCCAGCCTGGGTCAGGGGGGTGGGAGTGTCCACAGGTCCCTAAGTTCAGGGTTGGGAAGGGGGATGTCTCAAGCTGGGTCTGCTGGGGGATGGGAGGCAACCCAGCATGGGTCCTAATGCCTGCTTATGCCCCCCTGGCCCACTCTTGCTCCCTGCCTTGCCCCTGGGACCCCAGCCCACCCCTTACATAAATCCCCTTGCAGCTGCTCTGGGCTGGGCTGGAGCTGAATGTCATGGGGCAGCTGCACATCCAGGACGAGGAACTGGCGTCCACACATCCAGGCCACCGACTCAGGCTTCTTCTGCAGCACAACGTGCCCAGTGACTTGGAGGGTGCTAAGCAGCGGCTGCAGCAGTTCCAGGACCTGCGGAAGGGGCCTCCTCTTAGCCCTTGGGACTTTGAAAATCTGCTCCTCACAGGTCTATCCTGTGTCTACCGGCTCCACAAGGCTAGCGAGGCTGAGGAGAGGGGTCGCTGGGCTCAGGTCTTTGCCCTCCTGGCACAGGAAACACTCTGGGACCTGTGTAAGGGCTTCTGCCCCCATGACCAGCCCCCTTCTCTGGGACCCTGGGCTTTGATCCTTGACCCCTTCCCCTGACCCTTCCCTTTCACTTGCCAGCCTCCCCACCCACACCCCCAAGCCAGACCCATCCTAGGAAAGGACTTCCATCTGATACCTACTTCTTCTTCCTGTGTTCTGGTCTCTGGGCTTGGCTTGTACCCTGGACCCCTGTTTACTCCTCCCCCATCTTCTTCCCTGGGTCCTCATAGGCTAAGAGCCAGGGCTCTAGGTCCCAGGCAGCAGGTGCAGGGCTAAAGGCAGAGTTGTGCATTTTTGGGGTTGAGCAGTGTGTTTAAGAGATGCTAAAAGCAAAGCTGCCAAGTAAGGCCAGGTCAGACCCTCCAACTCCTACCCTGGCAGTTGGTGAGAGGACTTGTAGAATCTAACAGGAACCTGGTAAGCGCTCAGCACCCATTCCTAATTTAGATACCACTTTTAAGCCCAACCAGTGCTCTGGGATCCCTGAACTTCTAAGTTCTCCATTTGGGCTGGGAGAATAGACTGGATATTTTTAGTTTGGTCTGTTGGAGGAAAGAAAGGAAACAGAGGAATATACTTTTCTTGATGGGGGGAATGTTTTTTTTTGTTTGGTCCCTCTTGACAAGGCTTATGAGATGAACACCCTAGAACGAAGTGAGGCTGGGAGGGGGCTGACGGAGAGACGAGCTGCGCCTGGCTGGTATAGCCCTGATCTTGTGTTGCTCATCCTATAAAATGTTCTGTTCCGGCCTCCTGGAGCCTGATTCCTTCCATGTCAGAGTAAGTTGTTTAACCCCTGTCCTGAGCGAATCACCCTCTTTCTCCTGGAAGGGCAGGAATTGGGGCAACCAAGTATCAACTGTTCATCCCATTCACATGCCCTACTGGAAGAAGGGATGTGCTGTTTCCTTGAATCCCATACCCCCAGAGAGGAGGCAGGGTGTTGCCCCTTGTCACAAAAGGGAATCACCCATCAGTGGGCCCTAAGAATGACGTCGAAGGTCAATGGGGAGGAGTCAGAGGGACTGCCTGGAAAGGGACATGAAGGGGAGGCCCACAACGGCTTAGGTTAGTAGGGTTCAATCCAATCCCCACCTACTTGCCCTCCCAGGACCTCACCAAATCCTGCCCTCTGACCTCTCACCCTGACCCTGCACCTGCATTAGTGTCTTCCCACCCCGCCCGGAAACAACAGTGTCGCAGTCAAGACAGTGCAGGACCCTGGGTGACCGCCGCCGGCGCAGGCCTACTTTATTGGCAGAGTCCAGCCGCGCAGGCCGTCATGCTCGCGCCGGCGGGGCGTTCGGGACACGGCCCCGGCTCCTCTCCCGGTGGCAGCTCAGAGCTCCAGGGGCCCGAGGCCCGGCGGGCCGGTGGGGGCGAGGTCGGGGTACACCAGGAAGCCAGAGAAGGTGATGTACTTGCCGTGGTTGCTGTAGGCGCCGTAGCCGTCGTGGTCGTGGCTGAGCAGCCACACGGCGTCGCCGCGCCGCAGCGCCAGCATCACGCTCTGGCTCTGCATCTCGCGGCGCCGCGACGCGCCGTCGTCGTAAATCATGGCCTGCACCTCATCGTGGTTCTTCATCAGCTTCACCGACAGCGTCTTGCGCGGCAGTTTGCCCAGCGTGAAAGAGAAGAAGTAGGCGCCGGGCAGGCGGCAGCGGAACACGCCGGCCGCCGCGTCGAAGTCGCCGCCGATGTTGACGAGCTCGGTGTCGAAGGCGAGAGGCCGGT